TAGTAAGTATGCCAAAAGTGCATTCTACAAATCTTCTTGCTAGTGTGAGTCTGTAATTAAAAACTCTTTGAGTTACAGATAGGTTTCTTCTGGGGTATGGTCGCATTATGTGTTCTGAGAGAGCGAACGCTTCATCTCCAACAAAAACATAAGGCATTTTTCCCCATTTTCGTCTTTTGGTAGGTAAGTTGGTGATGGAAGTATTAACTGACCACCTTCAAGCTTCTTTCCAAATGCAGAATTTTTAAAAACGGTAGAGTCACTATTGCTGCCGTAAGCACCTATGTCAACACTGATGAAATAATAATTTGCATCAGCCACCGCCATTAAAACTAAGGAATGATATTGTTTATAATTATAAAATTGAGAACCCGCGCCATTAGGCTTTTCGCACCTTATATGCTTTCCATCCACCGCTCCCAAGCAATGTGGAAAATGGGTTCTTTTATAGAAAAGTTCGGCAGTATGGGACCAAGTTCTTTCATCTGGTTCTGGCATGTATAAAGATTGTAAACAAGACCATAGTCTTTCACACGTGTCTTCTATAATTTCACCAATTGTAGAGATACCAATTAGATATTCGTAATATAGCGAATAGTAGCTATTTCCTGAAGCCAAGTGCCTGCAATAATTACAACAAAATATGTAACACGAATAATATAAAATTCAAACAAATTATAGTTTATTATTTATCTACACAACAATTACCTTATTTTATTTTCTTTTACAGGAGCTGATGTGCAAAAAAAAATGAAAAATCTTAAACATACATACTTCAAGGAGGTGGCAGCTGATAAAAAGGTAGTTTCGGGTCAAGCCGCAAAGAAAAAAAAAGACCGTACATACACATGGGAGCACTTTCATTTTTAGCCACTCAAAAATCAATGAGAGATACGACAAATAATATTAAAGAGACAGAAAGCACTAACAGTAGTGCCGAAGACCTTACAAATCAATCCGACGAAGATACTGACACAGAAGCTTCACGAAATAGAAGACTTAAAACGAGCATGCGTAAAAAGAATAAAATTCAGAATAATAGCGATGATGAGTTATTGAAATTATTGCATGATAAAACTTATGATGAGGATGTTTCATTTTATGAAATGATCATACCAATGCTCAAGAATCTCTCAACAGACCAGAAACATTACGCTAAAATTGAAATTCTAAATGCACTTAACAGAGCAACTAAATATTCACCACAAAATTTTATACCGCCTAGAGTCAGATCCGCTATGTCTCAATATCAATCATCATCATCATCGTATTCATCTTACAACCCAAATACGCCATCACCCTACCCAAATACTATCTGTCAATCTCCTTCTCCCCAAATTTACCAATACCCACCATCTTTTCCTCAATCTCCGCCTGATTCGTCTCCTCAAACACAATACACACCATCTCGTAATTCAACTGTCATTCCTCAATCTCCACCTGATCCGTCTCCTCAAACCCAATACACACCATCTCGTAATCCATCTGTCATTCCTCAAACTCCGCCTGATCCGTCTCCTCAAACCCAATACACACCATCTCGTAATTCAACTGTCATTCCTCAATCTCCGTCTGATCCGTCTCCTCAAACCCAATACACACCATCTCGTAATTCAACTGTCATTCCTCAATCTCCGTCTGATCCGTCTCCTCAAACCCAATACACACCATCTCGTAATTCAACTGTCATTCCTCAATCTCCGCCTGATCCGTCTCCTCAAACCCAATACACACCATCTCGTAATTCAACTGTCATTCCTCAATCTCCGCCTGATCCGTCTCCTCAATCCCAATACTCGCTGTAAAATTTTCCAAATACTTCATTTAATCATTCTACATTCGTAGTAGAGGGTAGTGGTTTTGACATGAAAGATTATATTTTATTTAAATAAAAGTTACATTGCTTATAAATAAATGATGCTGTATGATTAAACCTTGTTTTTATTTACCTCCGTCAGTTATTAAATATACTTTGTAATTTTAAAATATAAAATGGGAGGGCTGGGGGGGATAAATTAAGAGAACGTGAAAATTTAAAATAAATGGTATTATCAGCGCCAAAATGACAGAGATGCATTAAATACATCTAAGCATTTGATAAAAATCAAACTGAGCTCAAAGAAATTCGGGTGCACTTTCAATTGTTTCGAAGAAACAATCAAAAGAAAGGTGCTCTTTCTTTTAATAAGATTGACTTTTATAAAATGCTTAGATATATTTTAGCTTACACTGCTGTGCAGGCTGTACCTAGTACCTATAAGAATGGAACATCTTACCTTAGAGTTATCGAGAGTCTCTCTTCAGCTGAAATTGCTTTTCTCCAATTCGTATCTTGATAGGTAATAGCCCGACCAACTAGTCGTAGTAAATTATCGAATGATTTTGTAGTCATTCTGTAATATCCGAAAAACTTTTTATTATATTCTCGCAGCTCTTGATATTTTATGTAGAAAAATCCTTTCATAGGTCTCAAGGCCGTAAATGGGTGAATCCAATGTTCATGACATCTTACGATAGGTTTGTCACGCCGCCGCCGCCGTAGTATCAGGTAAATTAAAAATTTTCTTTTATTCATTTTAGACGTTCGTCTCAATCGGGAACTGCATCGAACTGACAAAAATCGTACGAAATTTTATTCGCAGTGCGTAATAAGTGTAATTCCGATCACGGAATATGATACGCGAGAATAAAAATCGCGCGGTGAAATATCGCAGTGCGTACAGGGCCTAACATTCTCACACACGAGCATCAACAGCTACATACAAGGTGCCCCAGCGCGAAGTGACCGCCCGGCGTCTGTTGATTATTTGGACATAACTATCAACAAATACCTATAGAGTACTGGTCTTATCGGTTTATTTATTAGGTTTTTTTTTGTAGAGAAACCTGATATGTTGCACCATTTTCAAGATATGTTCTTTGTTTTTACATTTTTTTAATTCTGTTTTTTTCTTTACCAGTTGTTATCACAGTTTATCTATTCGAGGTATAAAATTCATTGAGTACGCGATACGATAAAATCCGTAAATATAGTTTTATTTACGGATTTTATCGCATTTAATTAACTTATTTTAACTTATTTTTTATTCCCAACGTTCCCGACGCGATAAATATTCAATGTGTAATGTCCGCGTAATTTTAAGAAATCATTGTATAAAATTTACCCAAAATTAAACAAGATACTTTCATGACAACGTTAATGAAGAAGTGAGTGATAGTAACAGCTGACCCTATGATAAGCACTCATCGAACTGCATCTCAGCTGGGTATAAAGAAAATAAGAGTGTGGCGCGTACTGTAAAAAGAAAGACTTCACCCGTACCATTTTCGACGTGCTCAAAATTTACGAGAAAAAGACAGTACACAAAGGTTGGTCTAATATCGATAAATTATGATAACAACTGGTAAAGAAAAAAAAAACAGAATAAAAAAAAATGTACAAACAGAAAACATATCTTGAAAATAGTACACCAAGTCAGGTTCCACTATAAAAAAAAAACTTAATAAAAAAACCAAACCGATAAAACCTGTACTTTAATGGTATTTATTATCAGAAAGACTACATGATACTATAAGCTCGTTTTGCGTAAATCGGACCAAAAATTAATATTAAAAACACTGAAGGTAGCCGGACTAACTATGACATTGGGACGTCAAACATCTCAGTCCCCCCCGTGACCATGGGTGCTGTAAAGCACCCGAAACGTCGGGATAATAATAATTATAAATTAAAGTAATTAAACGCGATAAAATCCGTAAATAATAGTTTTATTCAATTATTACACCATGATAATGTTCCGATAGTTTCCGATAAAGCATCGAAAAAAATGTCAACACTCAACCACGGCGGTCTGTAAGCAGTAGTTTTTCCCAAATAATCAACATACTCTGCACGGTCACTTCGCGCTGGGGCACCTTAACCGTTACAACCCACCGTATGAGGCAATCGAGTTGCAGTATGATTTAACTGGATGTGGCACAAATTCTATTTTACTACTTGATCATTAATATTTGATTTGAGATCTTTGCAAAATTCGCAACTATTGGAAGTTTCTGAGTAGTTCCTAATATATCAACAGTTTTGAAATATTTAAAAAAAATCGAATTTAAAACCAAAAATAAGACAAAAAATAAATTCTATATTTTATTGTTACTCTCTGAAGATTAAATAAATAAATACATTATGGCAAACACCGAAATAAATTAAGTCACTTATAAAAAAAAGCTACTTCGGCAATGTATTTATTACCTTACGTAACTTTTAGATCTTTTACAGCTAGTAATGTTCTCTGTTAGTTAATTCAACGGAACAAAATTAAACAATTAATTAAAAATAAACAATGAAAATAAAATTAATCACAAATATAATAATCTTGACTAGTTCAAAGATAGACAGGGTTATTTTGCAATAATCGGCCAAATTTGCAGGGAAGGTTCAGAATTAGCAATATAGGCAAATGGTGAAGATAAATTAATTAAAAAAAAACTTAAACATTCCGTCCTTTATATTTTTTGCATTCAAAATGCGTGGTAGTACATTATTTTAACTGATTTTACTGCGCACGCACACGGTAACGGTATATCATTATTTATATATTTGAACTTAAGTTTAAAATTTCGCTATTCTTTGAAAAATAACCCTGTATAAGAATGTTTTATTAGGTTGTTGATAACGAAGAACTATATTTTAAAATAATCTTTATATTAATTAATTCACAATCTTATTTATAAATGCTAAAATATTTAAACATATTAGTTAGACCTCAGATTAACAATATAGTTACAATATCACGCATAGAGAATGAAATTAAAAGAAACTAATTCTATTAAAATTGCAACTGGCAACTTTCAATTTTTTTTTTTATTTGTACACAAAATCATTTTTTTTTCAATAAGAATGACATTAAACTTTCGTTTTTAATATTTCTTTGGTTTTTTAATTTTAGCATCATAAGCTACTGTAAATCCTGTCTAATAAACTTAAATTAATACTTTATAAATTAATAATCTGAGTAAGACGGTGTCACCTTTCCAAGGCCATCCAGCGAGACGGGTCTGTAGTAATCTTGCATTTCGCCCCAACCTCGCGGCGCAACGTTAAAGTTTGGTCCACATGTGAGCGGCAGGCGCGGGCTTTTTGGCGAAGCATAGACATCGTTCAATTTTGTCGGCGCCAAAGGCACAGGAATTTCGATATTTTGTACAGTAATTGTTGGTGATGAAAGCGGAAACGGTTCATTCTTTGGAAGATTCGATGTATGCTTAAGAGCAGATTTTGGGTAAGTTTTCTGGTTTCTCAGGCTCGATGGCGGGCGGTATGGCGTGTCGTGATTTGCGACTGGCGTCGGAGTCGAACATGTGTTAGACGTATTGCGACCTGGAAACATCCAAAAACATGTGTTATACAAACAAATTGATGAAATCATGTATGATCTGCAGGTGATGTGCACATTCCTGGGAAATTTCCGATCAAGGTGACAACTTACAAGCCATGCGCAAAAGGTTGACCGATGATCTACCACTGCCACTGACGATGTTTTTGGTCTTCGTGGCTCCAAAAAAGATTTTTAAGCCCTATAAGGTTCGCGTGAAACGAAATCTTTATTTATAGGGCCTTATTAACTTTAAAATTTTATTAAAGTAAATTTGAGTTTAAAAAGTCCATAAGTGCATAGCCACGCATTTACAACGTGGTAGAGCCACACTGCAGCTATATTATGGTTGTAGCACAAATGGGTTGGCTCGAGGACCGCGCTATCATAGAATACATGAGTAAAATAGCAGCTTAGCTTTTTAATAAATAATTTATTACTTTGCAACCTTCCGCTAATTATTTATTATAATGGATTTAAAGCAAAGTAACGCCTGATTCTATCAATTAGCTTAGCTTTTTGCTGGAAACGAGGCATTCAATCTTAGCCTTTAGGGAAGACAAAACATCCACATTTTGATTCTTAATTGAAGATAAATGAAGATGTCTATGGACCACAGCATCCAATTACCATCAGATGGACTGTGCGCTCGATTGTCACCCTCCTTTTATTTAAAAAAAACCTCTCAGAAAGGAGAGGAGCAGTGATAAGCTGTACGATCTATTATTGACACTGATATACTTCACTGTAAACTTCACTGTGTTTTCTAGTTGACATTTGCATGCAATACAATCTTATTAACATTTTGTTCACAGTGTGTTAGGTAATTAATTTGTGTCTATAAGAAATAAGAAGGGACCAAAAATGGAACCCTGTAGTACCCCATTTTACCACAGCAGCTACAAAACTTTCAATCTCAGCAACACGAGATATACGATTGTGTACAATATGCTTAAGTAGGCATTTGCTATTGTTACGAGCTTGAGCTTCGTGACAATAAAAATTGCCGATAAAATTACCTAAATTAACACTTTAATTTACTTTACACAAATTAAAACTTAAAACACTAATAATTAAACACACTAATTCACTTTATTCCGCTCCGAAGCTTCGCTTGTCTCGCCAAATCCAATACTGCCCCGATCGCATCTTGCAGAGCCTATATATACAAATTAGCAATGAAACATCCGGAATATTCAAGTAAATGCGCGCAAAGCGACGAGTGTTCGAGTGCAGATTTTCTAGAAACTTAGTTCTTCGGAGGGCGCTGTCGGTTGAAAGATTTGTGATGTCATTTTCTGCAAAGCTCCCCTCGCTCTCGTTCCTGACACTAGATGGCGCTAGTGTATGACGTTGACTTATTCACGCAACACTGCCCCCTCCTAAGACATGCTCGTCTCGAGCATTATCGGTCCCATAATAACGCACCAAGCGATCCACATGGACAATCTTAGGAGTCCCTCTTGCGCCTTTCTGTATCCGGTAGGTCACATCGTTGATCCTGGTTACAATCCGGTACGGGCCGTCCCATTTAGCTTGAAGTTTAGGAGATTTCCCTTTGCTGCGGACTGGATTGTGCAACCACACTAATGAACCTTCGTTGAACCCTTTATTGTTCATTTTGCAGTCGTACCGGGTTTTCATTTTCTCAGACATTTGCTGGCCCGATTGTCTGACGTGCTTATAAATGTCATTCATTTTGTTCCGCAAGTTATTTGCATAATCGGTTATACTGCGTGGGGCATCAGGTGGTATCCCGGTGATCGGGTCTGCAATTCCGTAATTCTCTTCCAAAGTTTGCGAAAGCTGGTGTCACTGCTGTACTTTCGTGAACAGAACTTCGATATGACAACAAAAACGGTTGTATGTGCTTGTCCCAATCTCGTTGCCGATTGTCTATAACTTTTGCTAGGTACCTCTCCAATGTCTGATTAAATCGTTCCACCATTCCATCAGATTGCGGGTGATAAGAAGTCGTTCTTGTTTTATGAGTACCCATAACTCGGCAATTTTCCTGGAATATTTGAGACTCAAAATTCCTTCCTTGATCGCTGTGAATCTCTAAAGGTACTCCAAAACGACAGAAGACTTCATGAACTAGTTTATCTGCAACTGTTGAAGCTTCTTGATTTGGAATGGCGAAAACTTCTGGCCACTTTGTGAAGTAATCCATCACAACCATGAAATACTTGTTACCGCTTTCACTCTCCGGAAACGGCCCCGCCACGTCAATGGCTATTCTCTCCGTTGGTGCACCAACATTGTACAACTTCAATGCACCTCTACTCCGAGTCTGAGGTCCCTTTACAGCCGCACAACTTGTACATTTGCGACACCAGTCCTCGACATCGTTTCGACAGTAGACCCAATAAAACCGTTCTCGGATCTTCAGTAGAGTTCGTTTAACTCCCAGATGGCCTCCGGAACAATCATTATGGTACAGCTGTAGAACATCCGGTACTTTAGCTTTAGGGACAACCATTTGCAAATGACAGTGATGATGACGTCTCCCCTAACTTTTCCAATTTACGGCACAGAACTCCATCCTGAAGCAGCAAGCTGTCCCACTGGGCCCAATAGCTTTTAGTGGTCGAACTCATTGCTGAGACGTCGCTCCACTTAGGCTTGGGAGCACTGGCCTTTATCCATTCCAGAATCGGCTTGATGTCCGGATCTTCCTGCTGTGCATGTTGTAAGCTGTCCTTCCATTCATTGCTGAGGTAGTCCGTCCTGAGCATCCTCACGGATACCTCTTCCTTACTCTCTTGCCTAGTACAATGGTTGTAATCTTCAGGACAAGGTCTTCTTGACAATGCATCTGCGTTGCCGTGAGATTTTCCGCTGCGATGTTCGATCTCAAAGTCGTATTCCTGCAGTAGTTCAATCCACCTCGCAACTTGTCCTTCTGGATTTTTAAACTACAATAGCCATTTTAGTGCAGCATGGTCAGTTCGTAAGTGAAATTTTCGTCCCAGAAGATATTTGCTAAAATGCTGCAACGACTTTACCACAGCGAGCAATTCGCGTCTTGTGACACAATAGTTCCTTTCCGGTTTTGACAACGACTTGCTGAAGTACGCTATCACGACCTCTTGGTCACCATTCCGTTGAGACAACACACCGTCAAGTCCTATATCACTTGCGTCTGTGTCAACTATAAATTCTTTGCTTGCATCAAGGTATCCCAAAATAGGTGTTTTGCACAGACGGTCCTTGAACTCCTGGAATGCGATATTGCAACTTTCATTCCAGCAGAAATGTCACTTCTCCTCGGTTAGCTTGTGCAGAGGTTTGGCTATATCTGCAAAGTTCTTCACAAATCGCCGGTAATAGGAGCACAAACCCAAAAATGCTCTAACCTGCGTCTTGTCTTTTGGAACCCTTGACAATCCTTGACAGCGGCGTTTTCTCTGGATCTGTGCGGATACCTTATTCCGATACTACAAACCCCAAAAAGTTAACTTGCCGTTGGAATAGTGAACATTTCTTCGGGCTCAACTTGAGGTTGGCACTCTGAATCTTCATGAGCACGCGTTCCAGGTTTTGAAGGTGTTCCTCAAACGTACGGCTTACGATGATGATGTCATCCAAGTAGACCAGACAGGCATCGCCAATTAGCCCGGTAAGTACAAGTTCCATCAGCCTTTCAAACGTTGCTGGAGCATTGCACAACCCAAACGGCATTACTTTAAATTGCCACAGACCCTTTCCCGTCGAGAACGCAGTTTTTTCCTTGTCCTTGGGGTCAATTTCAACTTGCCAGTAGCCACTTTTTAGATCCAGCGTGCTAAACCACTTTACTCCTTTAAGCATGTCCAGCGTGTCATCAATTCTTGGCAAGGGATAGCTGTCCTTCTTCGTAACGTCGTTCAGACGGCGGTAGTCAATACAAAACCGCATGCTGCCATCCTTCTTCTTCACCAGCTCCACTGGTGAACACCATGGACTAGAGGAAGGTTCAATAACACCATCCTTCACCATTCCTTCAATCATGGTTTCCACTTCCTTTTCACGTGCTACCGGCAATCTTCTTGGCCGCTGACGGATAGGCAATTCTTCTCCTGTGTTTATTTTGTGTTAAACTAAGCCAGTCTTTCCTATGTCAGCATCGCTTGATGAGAATACATCGGCGTACTTGAGTAACAACTTTTTCGCCTTGACCAATTCGTTCGGGGAGAGAACACTGCGACAGTCTTCCAAAAGTGTGGTCACTCTCGTTTCTGCATCCTTGCTGGGGGTCCCACTCGATATATATTGGCACCGACGTAACCAATCCACTTCCTCACAAGTACCAATCAGTGTGCCTTTTTCTATAATATGTTCCTGGTCGCAAAGGTTCAGCACACGTGCTCCTGAGATGTCAGTGGTCCTGACCAAGGTTCGGGCTACTTTCCATGGAAGGTCATTGTTTACCCTTTCCACAAGTACACAACGGTGAGCTTGCCCAGCGTTTCGAGGAAGACTAACCGGAACAATCGTTTCCGATCTCGGCGGAAGAACAATCTTCTTAATGCTGTACACGTTCCCTGGTAACGCACCTTTCATAAAAAGTTCCTCCTGTCCACATTTCAAAACACCTTGCTTAACGTCGATCTCACAACAATTATTCCTCATAAAGTCTAGGCCTAGGATGCAGTCGTCCATTATATCAGCCACGATGACATTATGCAGGTAGATCACGTTGCCTAGCTTCAACTCCATCTCCTTCTCTCCACGGACGGGTATACGCTGACCGGTGGCTGTTACCAAATTAATGCGTTCTCGGTTGTATGCGGTGTCCCCAAGGAACTGACTTATAAGTTGGGAACTAACAACCGTACGAGAGGCTCCAGTGTCTATGGTCAACTTACATGGCATTCCGTTGATCTCGCCCTTTATGATTAGGCTGTTCCCATCATGGGTTTGTGAGATCGAGATCCTTGGGGCTCTTCTAACATCAGCCAGCACCCGCCCCGCAGTTCTGGCTTTTACTCGTTTCCCTGCTGCTGCTGGGCGGTGCTGTTGGCCGCACTACCCTCCTGAGATCGTTCACCTTCCCTTTCTAGGGTTCGCTTAGGGCAGCTGGATCGAAGATGGCCCTTTTCCCCACAGCCATAGCACCTTGGGCTGTATCCTTTGTTGCGGTCGCGAACTGTAGCTGCTGCAACCTCCCTGACGCGATGGGAACGATGATCCTGCCGCACGGCTTCCACTTCCAGTGCATGGGCCAAGGCGTCCTTAAGCGTCTCGTGGTGCCCGAGCCTCACAGCAGCTCTGACTTCCAGGTCACGGATGCCGAATGTCTGCAGTCCGATGAATGTCTGCACCAGGTTCCCTTCAATGAGCGCAGGAACAGACCGGTATGCTTTTCGCACCAGCTTCTCCACTTCTAGAGCCCACTGCTGCAGGTTTTCGTTGATGCGCTGCACACGATCTTTAAGCTGCGCACGAAAGACGTGTTCCAGGTGAGCGTCGCCATATCTCGCCTCCAATGCCTCAAGGAGTTGCTCATAAGTCATTTCCTCACCGAGAGCTTCCAGAACTGTTCCCTGGCCTGGAAAAGCCTGGTCATGCAGGCCTAGTGTGAGAGCAGTCATGGCCTGATTTTTATTCCAGCCGCCTTCATAACAGCTTCGAACTGGATTTTGTAGGATGACCAGGAAGAAGTCCCGTCGAATGGTGGCACCTTGAACCCACGTAGCGAAGGTGTAGTAGCCACTACGGGAGCTGTAGTTCCCTCCCCAAATTTGAGTTCGTCAAGTGATTTCCTCATGTCAGCCATTACGTTGTCAACCCGATTGTTCACTTGGTCAATTCGGGCTTCAGCTTCCGACAGGCGGTTTTCATGTTGAGCAACCTTATCCTTCACCTTCCTTATCTCTTTCCCGAAGGTAGCGTGAAGGTCCTTCATGAGAAGCATCTGTTCCTCCTGTCGGCGGGCCTGTTCATCCTGTCCGCCCCGTAGCTGTTCTTCCAACCGATGGACCTGTTCCAGCAACATCATCATCAGAGCACCTAAGTCGGGTGCTGCAGATGTAGGAGCTACCGACGGGCCTGCAGCCGGTGGCTAGCCCTCCGACGTCTGCGGCGTTGCACCACCAAATCTCCTCTGTCCGTCTCCTGCTGGCGTTGACTTCGGGTACGGACACCCTCCGATTCCTCCTTTGGTAAAATCGGCATGATTTTATCCCACTTCTGACACCAATTGTTACGAGCTTGAGGTACGTGACAATAAAAATTGCCGATAAAATTACCTAAATTAACACTTTAATTTACTTTACACAAATTAAAACTTAAATCACTAATAATTAAACACACTAATTCTGTAACTTTATTCCGATCCGAAGCTTCGCTTGTCTCGCCAAATCCAATACTGCCCCGATCGCATCTTGCAGCGCCTATATATACAAATTAGCAATGAAGCATCCGGAATATTCAAGTAAATGCGCGCAAAGCGACGATTGTTCGAGTGTAGATTTTCTAGAAGCTTAGTTCTTCGGAGGGCGCTGTCGGTTGAAAGATTTGTGATGTCATTTTCTGCAAAGCTCCCCTCGCTCTCGTTCCTGACACTAGATGGCGCTAGTGTATGACGTTGACTTATTCACGCAACACTATGCTTGCAAGTTTTAAGGCAACAGCAAAGGAATATTGAAGACAGTTCATGTCACAATTTAAGTGAAACTTCGTTGACTATAACAATTAATAACATAAAGTAAAATAAAAATAACTTAAACAACAAATTGTAACTGTATGTAAGCTATTGATATTTTGACATTGGCGTTAACTTTCACTTATTATCAACTGATGATAGAACCACGGCGAAACCGAACATCTTTTATGGTCCTTTGAGCCGAATATACACGATTTGAAAAAGAGAAATTCATATTCCTGTACAAAAAATTGGGCTGAATCTATAATGTATAATTCGGCAAAACCGGAGAGATCTGGTATACAAACAACGCAGGATATTTCCGAGGCACAGTAGTGAACTACCACCAACTTCCTGAATCCGGGCTAGTTAAGAATATCTTGACCACAGTTACTGATTTTGCCCCACCCCGGGATATTCCCGACTGGGAGGGAGATCACGTGACCAACAGTCGCACTTGCGAGCACTAGACCAACGAGGCAGTCTTATAAAACATAGCAAGATGTTGAACCTAATGCCCAAAGACTGAAAAACTGGAAGCAGCATCACCCGTACGATGATACGAGTCCTCGTTCAACTTGAAGCGACGCAATTCTAATGGTTAGGGGCGTGGAGCTCAAACTCGGAAAATCATAGCTTCGAGGCCTCTCCCTTTTTGCCTTCCAATCATGATTGTTAGCTACATTGTAGTAGCGGCAGAGGGAACAAATCAGGAGATGGGCAGCAGCGTCTTCCTAATAACGACAAACAACTGCGGTTGCCAACCCGCTTGCCAAGCGTGGCAACTATGGCAAATATTCCCCTATGAGGTAATCTATGAGGGAGGCCTATGTTCAGCAGTGGACTTTATAGGCTGTAATGGATGGATGGATACGCGTTTTCTGTTCATTAAAAAACGGTGGCTACAATTTGAACGCATCCAATCTCACCTCTTCCCTCGTGCACCCACTTTACCGAGCGCTTCTTCCTGTTGACGTACATACTCTGACCACGGCTAGTATGGTTGCTAGCGTCGCTCAAGGACTTGGATATCGCTCGTGCCAGGTCCATCTGTTCTTTGACGGTTGGATGAACGCCAGGCACGTAGAACGCCGATGATGCAAATGTTTTCTCTGAAACATAATTGTATTAATTTTTTTTTAGAATAAGAGTAACAAAGCTTACAGTCCACCTGATGGTAAAAGGACGCTATGACCCAAAGATCTTCATTTAATCTCAAATAAAAATCAAATGCAAATGTATCATCACTCTTCAGGACTAAGATGGAATGCCTCGGCTATAGGATATCGATTCTTCGGGCTATATGGCCGGTCCACTGCCACTTCAGCTTACTAATCCATTGGGCTATGTCGATCACTCAGGTTCTACTGCGGATATCCTCATTTCTGAGTTTATCACGTAGAGAAACTTGTAACGAACATTGCCCTCTCCATAGCTCGCTGAGCGACCTTGAGGTGCCTCATACGGCCAGCAGTGAAAGACCACATCTCAGATCCATAGGTCATCACTGACAACACCCACTGGTTGTACGACGTTGCCCAGCCGAGTTGAATCTGTCGATTGATCTCTCGGTCGAATTTGGACTTTCCTAGTCGGATTACTTGTCCCAAATAAACACATTCGTCAACAACTTCGAGCTTAGTACTCCGAATAACCACCGGCATTAGTGTGACATGGATATTACACATTACTTTTATTTTGTTCACGTTCATCTTAAGACCTATCGATTGGTAGACACTATTGACGTCACTGAGCTTAGTGCTTAGGTCCTCCAGCGATCCTGCCATAAGCACAATACCGTCTGCAAATCGAACGTACTCGCCCATACGTTAATACGTATCCTTTCCAGTCCAGTAGCTTGAAAACGTCTTCTAATGTAGAGGTGAAAAGTTTCGGGGATATTACGTCATCTTGTCTTACACCTCTCTACAGTTGGATAGGCTTCTTACTCTGGTTCTGTACTCGGATAGCCGTCGTAGCCCTACTGTACAAATACTTCAGCACTTCGATATACCGACAATCAACTTAGCAACGCTGATCAAACTGCAGCACCGGCTAAATTTCGACGGAATCAAAGGCTTTCTTAAAGTCCACATACGCAAGACAACGTTGCAGATAGTACTCTTCCGACTTCTGTACAATTTACCGAAGGGTATGTATGTGGTCTATGGTGCTAAAGCCTTTTCGGAAACCGGCTTGTTCGGGAGGCTGGAAGTCGTCGAGTTTGCGTGCGTGACGATTCGTAATGATTCTCGAAAACAGCACGTAGACGCGGCTCAAAAGGGAAATCGGTCTGTAGTTCTTCAAGGGAGCATTGTCGCTTTTCTTGAAGAACAAGACCACCGCACTCCTGTTCCACACCTCCGGAGTAGTGCCACCATGAAGGATGGAATTGAAGAGCCTCTGAAGGACTTTAAGTATCGGTATTCAACTCGCTTCCAGAAGCTCCGCTGTAATTCCATACTACGCTATTCTGATCTCGCTCAGACTGACTTACGAGATATCGTCGGAATAGGCACACAATAATTGGTTATTTATGTTTCTATGGTAACATGAATATTTCCGACAACTGCTCGATAAATATGAGACACCGATAGTAACAACGCTGTGGCTGTCCTGCGCCTGATCTCACCCGTCGTGTTGGATTGTCATCCCATCAGACTATGAAAGGAATAGAAAGTGTACCAGTGTTGGCGCAAACACTCGAACACTATAATCGTGTCTTGCGCAGATGGCTGGTCTCCGTTACATATCGGGTGTCCGGTAATGAATGGATAACCTTGAAATGTCTTATAGTATAACTTATGGCCGTTCTGAAAAAAATAGGAAAAATAATATATCACAAGTAGTACCTTTGATATATATTTTTTTTAAAGAAAAGTCGATTTTCTGATCTTATTTTACTGTCTTGAAAACTATGACCAAAAATGAATGATTTCTATTGGTTTTTCTGTTGTTTTATTATTATACACTAACTGTGCTTATAGGTAAAATGTAAACAGTATGAATAGCTTTTGCAGTTTTTATTTAAAAAAAATTCGCAAATTAATTTATTTCTGAAAAACATGCAAAAAATATTATTTAAGCGAAGTTCAAACCTCTTGGGTATGAAAGAAATGTATGAATGTATGGGTGACCAATAATTTTACAATAATGTCTGTTTTGTGTAGATTTTATGATGGTATAATTCATAAATGTATCTTCCATAAATAGTGACTTATTGCCATTAATGTAGAAAAGGAGAAAATTTGACTAAGTAACAAAATTTGTAATATGAGAACATTTATTAAATTGAATTGTGTCTAGAATCATAAAATCTACACGAAACCGATATTATTGTAAAATTATTGGTACATAGCCTACAAGTAATTGTTGCGGGTCTGGATGTTTGTCCGTGTGCAATTTATGTATGTAAACTGCCTCCACGATACAGGAGATCCTAGTGTGGGTATAACGTTTTTTTTTTTAAATATAAAAGGTAAAAAGTCCGTAGTCTCTGCGTATCGGCGTGAGTGTTTATGTTACGGTATTTAAAATAGTAAGCAAAAAAATCGACCGACTACTAAATTACTTATTTTATTAGTAGGTCAATGGAGCAAAATATAAAGTTCGGTCGGGAGTAAAAACGATTCAGGAAGACGGTTTCAGGTTTGGTTTTATTTTTTACTAATTTCTAATAAGAATGAGGTTCCTAATTCGTCTGTAGGCATATATTTCTCAATATCGATACAACACGTAGATAATATTTGACCGATATAGCGTTTAGTAATTTTCAGAAAAGCTTCATATCGAAACCCAAAACCCCCGGACAGTTTGACAGGAGTGTTGACACCTGATCTACATCTTCATCAATGTGTGACAGTCATACCAAATTTTTTATCCTTCTTAATAATATGCTCTTCTGCATCCGGAGCCGGGGTGAAGATCTTATTGAGGTCCACCTCCTTATCGCCCACGATGACCGGTTTGTTCTCCATATCCTCCTAGAATTCACATAACATGATTGAGTACAAGGAATTTACTTGTAAATTACAAAGGAAATGCGAATGTGTAATTAGCAGCGTAAAATCGAAGTCCAAATAATTTTACGCTTTTTAAAAGTCAAGAAAACTGAAAACTATAACATCGTTTCAACAAGTCGCTGCTGTGGAAGATCTTATGGGAAGAATATTATATATTATCAGGCTAGGTTGTCTGAAGTGGATTTAGTTCATAAAATTCTTCACAATACAAGTATTTGGGAGAATTTGACGACAGCTTAACCCAGCAGGCGATGATATCTCACGGTGCCAAAACGTAAGCAATAATTGAAGGTTTAAATCACCATCAAAGCACCTGTTACATAGACTTTAGTTTATATGCCTAGTTACTAAATATTCAATATCTTACTACTTTTATGTATCAAAGTCTACTTCAAAACATTATTTAAACGATAATAGGAAATTTGCCGCATAAGACCTTGTCAAAAGGTATGGATTTCAATTGAAATGAGTGATTACTCTATCTATTATAAAACACAAAAAATGTTTCTACCTATGTCTGTTATAGACTTTGAAATCTTCCAACTTTTTGTGTGTTTGAATGGGTCCCTAATGGTTTATATTTACATTTGAGCCCGGTAGGTGACTTCTGCACCCGTGCGAAGACGGGGCCATCGCTAGTTCTCAACAAAATTTGTTAAGCTACGTGATAACATAAACTCAGTAACATTAAGAATGAGATATCGACATAGAGCACAAATAACATAGAGTGAGTTGAGTTAGAGGCCACTGTCATTATTAACCAACGTTAGTTTAATTCCGAAAATATTTAGAGCCAGGGCGGCATCAGAAGCAGCTGAATTAAGTAAATGGCGCAAGTATGAGTCTTTGAGAAATGACTACATATTTGTGCCATTTGCTGTAGAGACTATCGGTCCGTGGGGTCCGCGTGCAGTGAAGTTCCTAAAGGAACTGTATCCACGGCTGGTCGTCGCTGCTGGTGATAAGAGGGCTGGTTTTTTTTCGCTCAAAGGCTAAGTATCAGCGAGGAAACGCAGCCAGCGTTCTTGGCACTATACCACGTGGGGTAAGACTTTATGACAATTAAAATTTTTAGTTTTAGTTTTTCTATATTACAGCTTTTTTTAATATTGTGTGTAATGAATATTAATTGCAAATATTGTATTATATTTAATATAATTCGCGTTTTTATACTCTGCGTTTTGAATCAATATTTTTTATTCAAAAACAAAAACAAACTAATGAATAAACTAAAAAAATCAATAACAAAATAAACAAGCAACGATATTTATTATTTATTTTTAATGCACACACACACATGCCATGCACAACAACAAATTGGTATTAGAAGGATTAAATTAAAGGTTGCTAGCGGTGGCCGATTATGTTTTAATCGTACGCGAGATTTACATTTAAACATTAAATAAAATATTTTATGTTTAATTGTAAGTTGCTTGAAGAAAAATGTTAACATGTTTTTGATTTTACATTTTAATAGTAAGTTACAAGAGAGACAACTTAAAAAAGACTAAAAAATAATTCAAAGCTAAATTGTTACATATGTATTTTAATTGTAATTGCTACGTGATATTACTTATTTTTAATTTATCTCTCCATTTTTAAAATAAACAATCCATAAAGCTGTCTACGACCCCGTTGAAAATAAAAACAAAACAAAGTTTCTGAGTGATATCTACACAATATATATCGCTTACGCTGAATTTATGGGCATATTTACATGTCTATAAAACTAGTGACTCCATGATTTTTATAATTTTGAGATAGTCTTACGGATAATAATTGTGCCAGCGGTTGCATTTCAGGGCCCTCTCGGGATATGTCCGCATCGTTCTGTATAATATTATAACAAATTTATATATTATTTTACGCTGATTGGTAAGAAGTTTTATTGTATACAACAGAGATACAGTTTATATAAATGCTGTTTCAATGTTTAATTATTTTTACTTATAATAATAACTTATCAAATATGGCAATGGTTGGTTGGTTAATTTATACACACGTTATGTCTGTGAATTTAGTACTCATGTTTATTTAGATCTAAATCTATTGTAAGGAGGCGAAGTAAGCCCTAATTTTTTTTTTGACTTTATATTATCTCTGTGAACTTAAGTGTTACGCCTTTAGTATTTGTTAAACGATAAACGAGCTTGCAGCTACATTCATGGTAAGTAATAAGTAGCTACTACGGGAACATCTTCCTGTCACCTACGCAGACCCGATTTACCTAGGCTGCAAGGTGTGCAGCGCACACGGGCGCAGGGTCTAGGGGGCGCCGACGTCGACACCTCCTGATGCGCCGCTCGCCGCGCCAGCTCTCAAAGACTTTAGGTTGTACTAAATTTATTATCTATTTTGTGTAGGGATAGGCAAGTAAAAATATCAATATATCGTCATGTTTTGCATGATGTAGTAAGATAAAGTCAAAATTATAATAGGTCGTTACACATGAAATTGGCGTTTTGTACTGGAGAAATATAAAGTATTTTTTTTTGTAAAATATATTTAATTATTCAAAGTATGCACCGTTGTTATCTATGCACTTTTGCCATCTCATAGGTAGTTCATTGATCTCTTTAATAAAAAAAAACATGGGGGGCGAGAATCAATAAACTCTTTGAGGCGGTTTGGACAGCCGCATCGGACTTGAGTTTTTTTCCTTGTAAGAATTTATCCAAATTCCGGAAAAAATGGTAATCTGTTAGAGCAAGGTCCGGGAAGTACGGTGGATGTCGCAGACATTCCAATTGTAGCTCATCTAACTTAGTGGTTGCTTGTTGTGCAGTGTGTGGTCTTGCGTTGTCGTGAAGCAGCAGTGGCCTAGAGCGATTGACCAATCTCGGTTGTTTAGCAGCTAGTTCTTCCTTCATGGTTTGTAGTTGCTGACAATAGATATCGGCTGTAATCGTTTGGACAGATTTTAGAAAGCTGTAAAGAACGACACCGGTGCTAATCCACCAAACACTCACAAGCACAAGTAACTTTTTCTGAGTCAATTTTCGTTTAGGGAAGGATTTGGCTGGGTCTCTAGGGTTCAGCCATTACGACGAGCGCTTCCGATTATCGTACAGTATCCACTTTTCATCACAAGTAATAATTCGATTTAAAATCACTTCATTTTTGTGTCGGTTGAGCAAAGTAACACAGCAGTCGATGCGTGTTTGCAAGTTCGATTCACTCAATTCATTAGGTATCCATCTTTCAAGTTTTTTGTACCAAAAATGTACCGTACTTTCTTCTCTCGACACCAGCGCCGTACACATCATTAATCCTTCGAGCTGTTTCTCCAGCACTGGTGCCACGGTAGAACTCGTACTCGTAAATATACCGATATTTCATGTTTTCCATTGTGCGTTAATAAGCGACGCCAGAGAAAAAAATAATGAGGAAAAAACAAATGAATGACTGTTTTCAAAACTCAAATATACCAGCAAAATGAATTTATAAATTTGAATTTGGAATTCTTAACCAAAGAGGAGATATTTCAGATCAAAGTGTTCAGTACGACAAAACGCTTATTTCATATCTAAGGACCCAATATTACAGGACGGCTGGACGACGAAAAAAAAGCGACACCAGACGACATGAATGCTTTTGTAGTTGCTTTTGTTGCCTAATATTTTCTTGATTAAATACATTTTAAAATGTATCGGAATTGATCCAAATTCGATACTCTAAAATAAATATCGATATATCGTGATTAAAAAATAGAGCACGATATATATCGATATTCTTACGATATAATATCGATATTTCGATATATTGATATTTTTTCCAAGCCTCTGCGCTCATGTTATGACCGACGACGCCAAGCGCGGCATCAAAGTTAAGCACGCCACGAGCGGTATATTTGTGTTATATTACGAGCGTCCTGTATTGTAGGTAACTTCTTTTAAAATTAAATGTTTTTAAATAACTACAAATTTGTTTTTTTTTTTATTCTTGTAAATCCTTCCTTCCTAAAATATTTTTACTCGTGTACCACTTACTTCCCGACATCATTTAAAATTGCACCATTTGCATCCAAATTTCCGTTTAAAAATATAGCTGTAATTATTTTATTTTGACCGCGTGCCTACAGAGGGCGCTACAAAGGCTAGAGTTGCGTATGCACCTACAGCTATCACTACATACAAATAGCTACATATTACGTGTTGTTATCCCTGAAGACTAACAGCCTCGTTACTCTTAGTTAGTTTTTAAAACTAACATCTTACTAAAGTATCTAAACAAATATACGATATGGATCAAAACATGCGCTAAACCATTTTTAATCGTATTCCAATGACCTTATGGCGAAATTTCTCGTCAATATACAAAGTTGAAGAACTAGTAATAGACCATCGGAACCACTTACGCAAGGTTTAAATTCAGTTAATAACCCACGTATATCAGACGTTAGAGCAATGATGGATCGGTAAGTAGTGTTGGAACGAGTCCAAGTTCTTGGTAGAGTACTGCCAACCCGCCATGCCAATTTGCGATGTACAACACGAATTTATTTTATATTTCAGTATTAAGGCCATACGTCTATGAGACGCGCCAGATGAGAAAAATTCACTTTTAACGCTAATACTTTGACTGTGGTGTTGCTTTCAATGTTGTTTTATCTGCGTTACAAGAGACACATTATTCGCGTCTGTTTACAATAAAGTTTAGCGTCCTATCAAATACAAATGAAATTATACATATTTTTGTTTCAGAGATATCTATTCGCCTTTTGTCATTTAAAACATTTGGCAATTTTTCCAAGCGTCATTTTGAACTGATCGGTGACGCTAAAAACTTTGATTAGTAAACAATACAAAAGTTCATTAGCCTCATCGTAACGGAAAGCTACTTTATTTATTGTATCATGGGCTATTAAAGAGGACATTATTGATAATTACCCCTGGGAATAAGGTGATCGTTATCATGCTATTTATAAATGTTTGCATACTTCGTCGTATAAAATGTTATTTATTTATTCAAACAAACAATATAAGCTTACAGTACTGGACCAAAACGTTTATATGTTATACTAAACATAACATTTTATTAGATCACATATTTAAACTATTCAGATAAGTAAACACATACTTCCTAATTACATCATCCGGGTTACTATCGACATCCGGGTTACTTTGTAAAAATGTATTTATGAAGTGGCTTTAGCGGTAGGGCTATTACTGGAATGAAATAAACTCCAAGTCGAGGGGTAACAGAAAAGTTAACGTTGCCGCCGTCCAACTCCGCGCATATAATGATCACGCACGTAGAAATGAACACATTCGCGTACCGATGGATTGTCCACCTTATTGGTAAGTAATAAATAGTGATGGAATATAAGTGTATATTCTCGTCTGGGCTGTAGAGTATCAAGGCCAACCATCCCCGAGACGAACATGGAAGGGTATAGAAACGGGTAGTCTCCATATTGACGTTTGTATAGGTACCTGGCAAATTTACGCTGTATTTTTCTACCAAATACATACATAATTTTTCTGGGGATTCCACACGATTGCGTTATACTCTAATCTTCTACGCACATACGCGTTATAAATTAGTTTTATAGCACTAATATTTTTGAATTGTGACGAATTTCTTATTATGAATCCCAGAGGTTTACGAGCGTCCTTAAATATTTTAACTACGTGTTCGTGGAAATTTATTTTGCTGTCTAGAGTTATCCCAAGATCACGTATTGTAGAGACACGCTCAATCGGTGAACCAGCAAAATCGTATGCCATTTTGATTGGGGAACGTGATCGGGAAAAAGTAAGTTTTACATTTCGAAATGTTTAATGTCAGTTTATTTCTTAGGCTCCATTCTACTACAGCAGTAATGACATTCTGTAGTGCTATACAATCACTAGGCTCGGTGACAGTAAGGAATAATTTTTGGTCATCAGCAAACAGTAGACATTCCGCCTACCATAGCATAGCATAGACTAGTGAGCACACTGGGTAAGTCATTAATCATGATTAGGAATTTAGTAAGACCGCGGGTACTGCGCTGGCTTACTTCAGAACAAGTATGGACTCTTTGGACCGATAGTCTACAACCTTGATATACTGCTTACGATCTCTAAGACGATCTGCCATTAATCTTAGGAGCTGTGAACGAAACCCAAGAGAAAAGAACTTCATTAAAAGAAAGTCATTGTCAACGAGGTCGAAAGCTTTCCGTAAATCAAAATATGCTGCGTCAACTTGACAGCCTGACTTCATCTTAGTGCTAACGTAGTTAAAAAACCTTATACGGTATATTAGCGTAGAGCGCGCAGGGCGGAATCCATGCTGAGAATTATCTAAACGTTCTCCAATTTGTCTTAATATGCAATGATTGATAATTGATTCAAAAATCTTACCAAAGATTGATAGTACTGCAATGGGTCTAAAGTTAGTGATATATAGGATAAACCAACTTTGGGTACTGGTTTAATCCTAGGGAGCTTCCATTTACTGGGATAAATACTGCTTTGTAACGAAAGATATAGGAGAGGTTGCTCTCGAACTGACGTTCAATCTCTGACCAAAAATGCCGGTATGCTATCAGGACCTGATGTTGTTTTAAGACGACTTACTGCTCGCCTAAATTCCGACAATTTAATATGTCCAATACTGATGACTGTTACATAATCCGAGTTAATTTCATCCCTTTCAGCGGCCTTTGGATCAAAGAGAGGAGTATTTTAATGAAAAACTGAACTTAAGCAATGCGCTTGAGAGTCGACGGCTTCCTGTTCTATTACTACCCTATTATCATGAACAAATTCCTTAAATTGTTGCCTATTTTTTCGTTTTTCTTTAACATATTTCCAAAAAGCTAAGGGATCACAGGTAACATT